TATGGGCGCCGGTTCTAATTCCGGTAGCCCAGCTTCCCATCCAGCTCCCTGCCTATGTCCTGGAAAAGCAGTCAAAGAGGGCCCAAAGCCTTGGGACCCTCCTGGATCCTGGCTTTGGATTAGTTCAGCTCCAGCCATTGTGGCTGCTTGGGGAGTGAATCAGCAGATAGAAGATCTTCTCTTCTGTCTCTCCTCCTCTCTCTGTATATCTGACTTTTTATTTAAAAAAAATAAATAAAACCTTTTTTAAAAAAATGCATGTGCTTCTGATACAAATGATGCTGATACAACTTGGAATTCACAATTCACACCATATATAAGAATATAAGAGTTAACTCACAATGTGCCATTAACTTAAAAGTGGTAGCCAAAGTAGAAATAAGTAAATAAGTTCACATAAAATTGGTCCAGGCAAAGATTTCTTGCAACATCAAAGGCACAGTTCATAGGAGGAAAAAACATGATAAATCAAAACTCATGAAAATTTAATAATCTCATGCTTCAATGATAGCATAAAGAACATATATTTAGCATGAAAAAAAAAGCCCTTTTGTAGAAGGACATTCAGAATCTTTGCTATTGTGGGAGACAACAGCCAGTTGAATCCCCCTCCTGAAGGCACCAGGAGCAATTGAGAAGGAGATGAATGAACAGGAAACGTCCTGGGTCACAGGTTGAGCTAAAGAACATGCTAGATGAACAAGCTGTGTTTTGGGAACTGTGTCATGCTGTTGAGATGTAAATGTCTTAAACCCCCTTTCCTGGGTGCCTATGTGACAACGTCCTTTTAAAAACCCGACTCTGTTAATAAACTTTGGCTATCTCACCAAGGCGGTAGTCCACACATGTCTTTAACCAAGCTCTGTGCACCAAGTCCTTCACTGCAGGACAGCGACACCCTTATGATTCAACTAATGAGATGGCAAACAGCCAGTTAAGCTTAGTCTGTTTCCTGTTACTGTAACAGAATGCCTGAGCCTGTGTAATATATACAGAAAAGAAGTTTGCTTTGTGCTGTGGATGTGGAGGCTGGAGAGACCCACAGTATCCCACAGCACCTACTGGACTTCTGCTGAAGGCCTCCTGCAGCTTGTTCTCTTGGAAGAAGGTAGAAGATGGAATGCCAAAGAGACAAAATAGCCTTGGTCCACCTCACCTTATAACCACAGGCCGCAGTAACTAACCTACTCACCAAGCAAAGTGTCCTAATTACCTCCTAAAGGCCCACCAACTCTCAATGTTGTTAACTGTGAATCCAATTCCAGCATGTCTCAGAGGAGACAATTTCAGATTATCATACAACCCAATCAAAAAAATGAGCAAAAGATAGAAATAGACATTTCCTTAAAGAAACATATGTGATTTTCAAAGTTTTTTGCACCAGCATAAACTTATCTTTTAATTCTGTTTTCTACAAACTTTTTGAAATATTCTGACATATGGATGTCTTACAAGCACATGAAAAGATATTTAGTATCATTAGCCATTAGGGAGTTGCAAAATTGAAGTCTCAATGTAATATCATCTGACATTCAATCTAATTATTATAGTAAGTCATACAAATAATAACAAATATTGATGAACATATAGAGAGAAGAAACTATAAAAGAATACAAACATTTTGAAAAACAGCTCAGTAGTTTTGCAAAAAAGTAAACATAAGACTGATATAACCCAATCATTCTACTCATAGGTGTCTACCCAAGATCACACAAACTCATATGTAAATATTAGCCATGGCCTTATTTGTGACAGTCTGAACATAAAATAGTGTCCAACTGGGAATGCACTGACAAAATGTGGCATATTTATAAAACTGGGTATTATTCAACAATAAGAAGAAAAAGTTAATGACACACACTAGATTAGGTAACATCTAAAAGCACCATTACATGAAATTTATGTCATCTGACAGATTCCACACTGACAAAAATGTCTAAGGCAAACTAATCACTGCTTTTCTGGGCTGAAACTAAAGATGGGAGCAACTGTAAACAGCAGGAGGGATCCTACAGTGCATTCCAAAATGATCAAAAAAGGATCTCCAGGTGCTGCTGCAGCATTTGGTAAACCTACGAGAAGCTGTTGTATCCTACACTGAGAATGGATGCTTTTCTTTAAAGATTTTATTTATTTGAGAGGCGGAATGATGGGAGAGACAGAGATCTTCCATCTTCTAGGTCACACTTAGGATGTCCACAATGGCCAGTGCTGAGTCTGACCAAAGCCAGCGCTCCATCCAGGTCTCTCACATACATGGCCGAGCCTCATGCCTTGGGCCGTCCTCAGCTGCTTTCCCGGGAGCATTAGCAGAGATCTGGATGGGAAACAGAGCAGCTGTTCTCTGACATGGGATGAGGGCATCTCCATGGGCGCATATCCTGCTGCACCAATAGGCAGAATTTTGACAACCAAAACATGCCTCAATCTTTTTTTTAATGTATGTTTTTGTCTCACCTGTCCTTTGAACATTAAATGAGTAGCTTTAGATTGTAGCAAATTTTTGTAGTTATTATTAGATCAACAATTATACTCTCAGCTGAGATTAAAAAAAAAACTGTCACTTCAGGGAGAATCTGTGTCAGGAAACATGTCCTACTGGTTGCTCATTGGAAAACAGCTCTCCAGGAAAAACCCTTTCATAATTCTAAGGTCCCTCTGTTTATATTTTAAGAAGCCAGGGCCTGGAAGCAGCTCAAAAGTATATACAAAAGAGAATGAAATTGTCCTTTGACAAAGGGCTGATTGATCTGATGGGTATTCTACCCTACACTAAAATTACACTGAAAGAATTTACAGGGACAAACAAAAACTTGCAGCCCAACTTGAAAGGATCTAGTGTTGGGTTATATAACTCAGAGAGTTTACATGTCAGAATAGCAAAGGCATGTTCGCTTTAGTTAACTACACAGTGTCCTAACACAATGGTCCCCAGTAATAATATTAAATATTAAGCTACACTGTAGGCGTTAATCCAATCCCAGGGTCTTTCTAGATTTCTAAGCCTAACCTCATAATTATCCATTCTACTGACCTTTCAAAATTAATCTAAGACTTCATAGCCTTTTCAGGACATCAAAGGCTTTTACAAAGTTTTTAAATCTTTAAACAAATATCTGTGACGCCTCGTCTGAATACCTTTATTGAAAACTCTAAGTCTCTTAAAACTCCCTCTCTTCCCTCATTCATTTTTCCCAGCAGCAATAAATTCACATTATGTACAAAAGAATGTAACCTGAGAAGTTTAATTTGGTACAAAAAATTTTTGAAAATAATGTACGCAGAGGTCTTCAAGACATTCATGAAAAGGAAAAGCTCCGGCTTTTCAAAATTGTTTTGCAGCAAAACATAGGAGATTGCATTTTTCATGAACTTTTTGAAGTATTCTTGCTTATACTCACAATCGTTCTCTTCCCCCATTGGAATGGAAGCCCCATGAAAGATCTGATTTTGTCCTACCTGACTCCCCACAGCCTTCCACTGTGCCTACTACTTCATATTCTCACTATTCTCTGAACAAGTGAATGGCTATCAGATCAGATGCGCAGATGAAATTTCAGGCTGATCTTGCTGCAAGATCTCTATTCATGGTTACAAAAATTTCACAATAAAATAGAGATGCGAGAGTATAATCTCCAACCTACTCAGCATTCTTCAGCAAAGAAAAAAAAAGGAAACACGGCAAACAAACAAACAAAAAAAAAACTAACACTGCGTTTACAATTCTGGATTTGCAAAAAAAGTATGTTTAATAAATTGGCTCTAGTTCTGGAGAAAAGTTATGTTGACTGAACCCCAGGTAACTCTTATTAACAAAATGGAAAATAAAGAGGGCTTAGCTGGTTAATCCGCCACTTGGGACTGGAGTGACTGGGATCACAGTCCCAGTCCCTCCACTTCAGATCCAGCCTCCAGCTAATGAGCAAGATGGCTCAAGTACTTGGGCCTCTTCCACCCGCTTGGGAAACCCAAAATTTGGCTTGGCCCAGACCTGGCTGCAGCACACAGTGAGGAAATGAAACAGCAGATAGAAAAACGATGCATGTGTGTTTCCACCCCCCGCCCTCCCTCCGAAAAACAAGTTCAGTATCTAACTAGTTCTCCTTACTAGTTTACAATTACTTTAGTACTAAGAAGCATACAATTTCTAAAGCAGCTTGGTTTTGTATACCCAAAGTAGAAATCCACCTCCAAAAAGTAGACCTCAGCAAAAACTGTGGTCATAGTTCTGACCTCGGCCCTCCTCTGACAAGTACCCTTTTCCTCCCCCTCATTCCAAGCGCCTTCCTGGAGCAGGGCACTCAGTAGCAAGCAACCTCCAGCCCCGTTAGGTCTAATACAGCCACATTCCGGCATTCCTCACGCCCACCCATGCCACCCCACTGGGCATCCGCTGAGCTGTGGGTCCAGTCAACCCGGAGTCCTGGAACACCACAGAATCTGAGGAAGGCAGGCAGGCACCTCTGGCAAGACCAGAAGAGGGGACATCTTAGTTTTCATCCTGGTCTGCCAATTCCAGGGTGACCTTACTGGATGGAGCCTTAGGGGTTCCAGTTTGTTCCCCTGTACGGTGAGGGTAACAGCTGGTCCTGGATTAAACAAGATCTCAGGTAACGCCTCTAAAAGGGCACCTGGCACCAAACGACAACTCAGTATCTATGAGCAACCCGCACTACTGCCCAGCCCTTCCCATACGGTGTCCAAGCCGAAGGGCACTTGAGGGATCTGGTCCAACCTCCCGGTCGTGCAGAAAGGGAACCTAGCAGGGAAGCGCCTAGCCCCAATGCCCGCCCTCACGATGGGCGCTGGACCTGGCGCCCAGGACGCCCGTGTGGCCGGCCCACGGCCCGCCGGGCGGCCGCGACCCCCGCCGCTCCCGGGGGCGCCCAGGCTGCCAGCGCCCCGGAGCCGCGCCACCTGCCGCGGGGCCCTGCGCCCGCTCGCCTCTCGGCTCGGCCCAGCCACCCCGCAGCCCCGCGCGGCGGCGGCGCCTACTCAACTCTTCACTTTGCCGAAGGTGCCGACGCCCAGCGTGTCCCCTAGGACGTAGTGGCCGATCTTCACCCGCCCGTCGTGCTTCTGCTTCTCAGCCATCTTCGGCGCGCGCGGCCTCGCTCCGCCGCGGCCCCTCAGCCCGGACGCCGCCGCCGCCGCCGCCGCCTACCCACAGTGCAGCGGGACCCGCGGGGGGCGGGCCGCAGGCGCCGAGGGGTGCTGGCTCGGGCGGCCGGGGTCCCGGGCGGGGACCCGGCGGGGCGGGAGAGGCGACCGCGGCCACCCGCGGCCCCGGCGTGACAGACGCCTGTGGTGGAGCCGGACACGGAGGCGGCGGCCGGGCCGGGGGGCTTGAGGCGCTGACGGGAGAGAGGGCGGGGCCCAGCCAGGTGCTGCGAGTCCCACGAGGGTGGCAAGGTGCAGGGCACCCGTGGGTGAGGGTGGGAGGCGGGGGAGTGGCGCTCTCTGAGGGAAGGCTAAAGGGCGTGGGAGTGCTGGGAGTGAGACCCGGGCCGGATCTGAGGGTATGGAAAGAGGTGGAAGTCGAATTTGAGAGAAACAGGCCCCAAAATTCAAACCCTGGATGTGGGCTGGAAGGCAGAACTCTGGCCTGGATCAAAGGGCAGTGGGAGAAGCGCCCTGGGCCGGCTCCTGGGGTCATGGCTATCCCAGAGCCAGTCCTTGAAGTGCCCAGATCCACGCTGGTGCTCTTTTGTCCTCCTCTGCCTATTTCTCTAGTTCAGTGCTTAGATGGGAGAGTGCTCTCCTTGTAATGATAAGCAGTTTCTCAGTCAATTATCGTCTCCCCACAGTATCCATCACATGGCCATAGACAGATCGCGAGGAAATGGTGTGTGACAGAGCTGCACAGGGGAAAATAGCAAAATAGAAGGGGACATTTAGGGTGTACAGAAAGTCAAAAACAAGGTGTGCCAAAATGTGCCTAGAGGGATAGATGCCCCATAGCGTGGCAGCCATGCCCGACTCCGGCCCATGCAGGCCCTGGGAAGCAGCTTCGGGCTTCAGGCTCTTGGGCCTCTGCCACTCACACCGGAGACTGCGTTCCCAGCTCCTCTCTTGGCCCTGGCCCAGCTCTGGTCATTGTGAAAATTTGGGGAATGAATCAGCGGATTGGGTCTCTCTCTCTCTCTTTCTGAAAATAGAATTAAAAGATGTTTATCGTGAAATCCGTGTGCACAGGAGCTCTTCATGAAGCCCATGAAAAGACATATTACAAAACCCATTCATGGATTTCAACATTTTGGACATCAAAATAAAATTTCTTTTTAATTCCATTGTTTCATAGATATTTAAAATACCTTTGCTCAGGAGTGACAAAGGAATTACGAAGAGCCAAGACAGTGTAAGGACACCAATTAAAGACGGCACTAACTTTAAAAAATGGTAAAATGAAATGAGAAGCACAACCCACTAGGCACAGCATTAAAGACAACTTAGTAAAGTGATTCTCTATTTCCTCCCTTTTCTTCATTTTATATTATCCCTTTCTTTAATGTTGCCCTGTCTTTCAGGTCTTAATTTTTCTTTCCTTCTCATCACAAATAATAAATAAATGTAGGCTAAGGTGTATTTTATTGGCTATTATTGGATAAATGTTGCCATTCTAATATATATACATTTCAAAATAACACATTATATCTGGTTGTGTAACATTTTTACTTCTCAACGGTACAGAATTTTAAAAATTAGTTTATGAAGATTATTTGCTATTTGAGGATAATTATTAAGAATTATCAAAATATTTTCATCACTGTGCAGGCCAGTGGAATTGCAAAGTCACATTCCTCAAACTTGAAGTCTGTTGTAGCATTTATGTATCAAGAAATGTAGTGAGGTTCTGCCATGGGTTCTTCCGGGCAAAAATAGCTCCCTGCAGTGTGGCTGCGTTGGGGGTGTGCCCCAGCCAGGTCGGACCAAACACTGGTGACTCAAGCCAAAGTCTCTGTCGACAGGCAGTGACCAAGTCCTAGGCTTTCTCCTGCCGGAGAGGTCTCGTCCCTCAGGGAAAGTACACCATGAGGGAAACGTGGGAACTGGGTTAAGGCCCTGGCCCCCCCTGCTGCTAACTTCTTGCTGCAGGAAGAGTTTGGGCATTGTTTAGGCGTGGGGTTGGGGTGAAAGAAGCCCCCTACAGCGTGGCTGCTGTGGGGCGGTGCCCGAGCCAGGCCAGACCCCCAATTGCTTGGGACTCAGGCCATGGCCACTGCTGCCACACGGTGCAAGCAAAAATTAGAGTGGGTGAGCGTTGGTTGGGCTTTGCCGCAGCGTCAGCTGGCAGAGGCTGACACTGGGGGCTAAATATGTCAAGTAAAACTCCAAAAACACCTGGAGAGTGCATAATCTGAGAGTGGGAGTGGCCTAATAGAGCAATAGTGGGCACCTCCCTCTTGGGTTATCACTCCCACTGGAGAGCACGAAAACCAGGACAGCGGCAGGGGTGGCTAGACAGGAAGGCACCTGCCAGTATTTGTGTGGGCTGGATAGTAGGGTTGGTTGGGTTGAACTAGGCTTCAATGCCCATTGACATGTACGAGAGCTAAATGGGATGTGGGACAGACTGAACAAGTCTAAAGTACATGGTGGCAAGCATGGGAACCTGGGTAGAGGGCAGGCCTGGTAGGGGTTATGAGGAGTCACCCCAACCAGGATGCAGCTCTCCCTGGTCTGCGGGTTTGTGTGAAGGCCGAGTATAAAGTGGGTAGGATTGGACTGGACTGCAACAACCATTGTTTCGCCTAGAAGACAGGGCTGGGAACAGAACTGACCAAGCATGTGCATAAGCTGATTGGGGTGACAGACTGTGCCAGACCCTGTACTGGCATGCACACACAAGAATCAGGTCTGTGATCACCTCAAACGAAATTTCTTTGGAAATCCTTCCATCTGAACTGCTGATCTCAGAACCCCAACCATGAAGAGACTATGTCAGCCAGTGGATTCTGAATGGATTTCATTGCAACTGGAACGGCAAGATTGGCAGCAATTCAGAACTGTTGAACTATCAAAACTGCTTGCATAGGATCCTCGGAGCATGCCTCACATCAGGGACCTGGGATGGGTCGGAGGCTGGGTGAGGCTTCTCCTTTTGTTTCTCCCCTGACCCCAAATACAGGGGGAAAAAAATGCCACATACCAGTCCACATGAAAGCTATGGCTGGGGGCCTGTCTGGCAGGACAGACAATGGTCTTACCCACTTCGATTAAAAAAAAAAAGTATTGAACAGAACGAATAGGCTGTAAAAGATGTTTTCCTTTCTGAGAAGTAATAAATACACAACTACCATATGTTCATTCTTGGTTAGACACCAAGACAATCTGATGAGAGATGAGAACAGCTTATAAATTATAGATATCACACCTGTTAAACAGAGGCTATTTTTGTTCATTCTTCGGCTCATCTTTCTTGCTGACAAGAAGTGCCATTTAAGAATCACACTATCTGGCTGTCAATATGGAGAAGATAGCCAGTTTTTTTTTTTTTAAGGTCTATTTATTTTTATTGGCAAGTCAGATATACAGACAGGAGGAGAGACAGAGAGGAAGATCCCTGCATTGATTCACTCTGCAAGCGGCCACAATGGCCAGAGCTGAGCCAATACAAAGCTGGAAACCAGAACTTCTTCCAGGTCTTCCATGCGGGGGTGCAGAATCCCAAGGCTTTGGGCCATCCCCAGGCCACAAGCAGAGAGCTGGATGGGAAGTGGGGCTGCCGGCATCAATATGGGATCCTGGCACATGCAAGGTGAGGACCTTAGCTACTAGGCTACCACCCTGGGCCCACCAGTTGCTTTTAGTGATGAACTTCTTTGTGGTTAAGGGTCACTGATGACCTTCAGTGTTCTTCAGGTAGATAACAAAATTCCTGAGCTATTTCTCTCTCTTATTCTAACATCCCTTTAAAAGATATTGAATAGTCTCTGGTTAAGCCAAATTGGTTTCATGAAGTTATATTAAAAGTGACCATACACTGAGATATTTAAAGTTTCCTTAAGTCTTGATCCTTAGTCACATTCTCTCTTTTTTTAAAGATTTATTTTTATTATTTTTGTATTGGAAAGGCAGATATACAGAGAGGAAGATCTTCCGTCTGATGATTCACTCCCCAAGTGAGTGCAACGGCCAATGCTATGCCGATCTGAAGCCAGGAACCTCTTCCGGGTCTCCCATGAGGGTGCAGGGTCCCAAAGTCTTGGGCCGTCCTCGACTGCTTTCCCGGGCCACAGGCAGGGAGCTGGAAGGGAAGTGGGGCTGCCAGGATAGCATCAGTGCCCATATGGGATCCTGGGCGTTCAAGGCGAGGACCTTAACCACTTGCGTCACCGTGCTGGGCCCCTCAGTCACATTCTCAATGAGACTGGCCTTGATGACACTATTCAAAACTGTAGTTTACAGGTGAGGATTTGGTGTGGTGGATGAAAACTGAGTAACCACACACCCTGTCCACTTCTGATTCCATTTGCCTACACATGCAGATGATGGCTCAAGCAGTCAGCTCCACTCCAGCCACAGGAAAGCTGTGGACTGAGTGAGTGCTCGGCTTCAGCATCTGGGGAGTGATCTGCTACATGGGACCCCTCTGTCTGTTCTCTTTGTCTCTCAAATAGAATTTTTTTTAAGATTTATTTATTTTTATTGCAAAGTCAGATACATAGAGAGAGGAGGAGAGACAGAGAAGAAGATCTTCCATCTTCTTCCATCTGATGATTCACTCCCCAAGTGCCTGCGATGGCCAGAGTTGAGCTGATCCAAAGCCAGGAGCCAAGAACTCTGCTGGGTCTCCCAGGCAGTTGCAGGCTTTGGGCCATTCCCAAGCCTTTGGGCCGTTCCTGACTGCCCTCCCTGGCCACAAGCAGGGAGAACGGATGGGAAGCGGGGTTGCAGGGATTAGAACCGGCGCCCATATGGGATCCTGAAGCACTCAAGGCGAGGATCAACAGCTAGGCCACCGTGCAGGGCCCACAAATAGAATCAGTTTCGATTGCTGTTTTCTCTCACTCATACTCCCTGCCAAGCACTCTACCTCCCTGGCCCTGCTTAATTTTATCCACACCACTAAGCTTCTAAGGTATGTATTAATTTGCTTGTCTATTATGCTTTTGTTTTGTCTCTCTCCCAAGGAGAAAGTAAGCTTCAAAAAAGAGAGGGAATTTTTTT